CAGAGCCTCACAAACGGAAGCGCCTCGCGCGCTGGGCGTCACCTCCCTACCCCCACTCCCGATCTCTCACTCCCCTTCCCCATCCCATTCTCAGTCTGTCGCTGGCAAGTGCCACGATCAGTGAGTCAGCGCCTCGCCTTTCCATTTTCCCAGGAAGCAGCCATAAACAGGCCTACAAGGATGCTACAACTACAACAAAGTTTGAACTAGAGTGTAGTGTGCGCCTCTCATTGCTCTGTCTTTGGTACCGTAACTCCAACCCCACCCCCTCCCCTCTGCCTTTTCTTTTTGCTAGTTTCACTGTGTAGTTGTGTAAAAATCAAGGGCAGCAGGCAGCTTTAAAAAGTAGTGTTGTCTTTTTACCGCTGATCTCCCCTTGTTTTTTCATCTTTGGCTTTATATTTTCATTTATCGACATATTTATATATATATCGACGTCAAATCCACTTCCCGAAGCATGTCCTTAAAGCGGATTATACTGTATTTTTGTTGCAAGTGTCATAAAACTCTTTCAAAAAACAAAACTAAAAAAAAGGAAAAGACTCAACTCTCTATTCTATAGTTTTGATGCTACGTGCCTTTCTGTAGTGAGAAGTTTTTCAGTCTAGTGTTTTGCTGCAAGTTACTTAACCTTAATGAAGTGGAAGATAAGAGTTGGTGAACCTGCTATCTACAAAATTATTATTTTTATGTTTGCAAGGTGAATGTTATCCCATCATAAAAATTTAGAGAAATTTGTCTGACTAGACAATCAAATGAAAAGTGGACAACAGGTTGTAAAGCAGGGGAACGAAAAAGTAGGACCTACCACTCAGTAGCGCCCTCCAACCACCTGCGCATTACATTTACATGTATTAATTTATGACGTAATGTGACCTCTGCCCAACCACGTTAAACAACTCAAAACAGTCATTTCATTTACAACATAGTGCGACTAATTTCGTGGACGTCGGCGTTATTTTATAGAGCTGTAGTTTTATTTTACATGGTGGAGGCAATTACAGCGAATTATGGGCGATTTCCAGGTTGAGAACCATAAATATGGGGTACATAGAAGCTGAACCAATAAATTGGCAAACAGATATTATTAATCCGAATACAGGAAAAAGAGGCTAAAACAGCACCTGGACATGGATGGCTGGTGCCTCTATAAATAAATCATTGATGGTCTGGTCTGGTCTATGGGCGTGTTTGTAGAGTATTTTTTAAAACTTCAACTTCAATCTCAGATTCAGCAAAACATGGACGTTAATCGTATGTCCCATTTTTGCTGTTTGTCCATAATTTCATTTGATAAGCGCACAGTCTCAGCAGTTAAAAAATCCACTGCTATGGTAATCGCGGAGTCAAGATGGCGGACGAAGGGACGTCTCGCTACGAAAAAATTGACTTCTTAGGAGAAGGACAGGTAACCATTTGTCTCAAGAACTCGTTGAATTTTCGTTTGAACCCATGGACGAGATTATAAAAAGAGGACTACCTGCCTAGGGTCATGTGCTTTAACTTGAGAACAGCGGAAACTCGTCTTCATTCATTCAATCGTTCATTTCAGAATTCCACTTTCGGTTTGTCGGGTGGTGCGGTTGGCAGTTGCGTTTGGCGATTTTGTAGTTTCTTTCGTTAAAGTTAAAGTCAAGAGTAGGGGGGCCTCAGGCGGGCTTGCCCCCCTGTGCCCCCCCTGATCTAACAAAAATATGGAGGTGGGGGGGGTTCAGGAATTTTATCCTTATTTGATGTTTTGCAGTTGGCCAGCTCTAATTCTCACCATATTCCATATTATGCCATATGAGCAATTGCCAAAACGCGAGACTCTCTTGAGACTCAGTGGTGCAAAAAAAATTTTCTTACCAATTTGACTCTCTTTTCTGTCAGTCACAGATTGACATTTAGTGCTCATATTCCTAGAGTATCAGAGCAAGGAGACGTTCGGTTTTGGAGATATGGCATGGGTCTATTGGTTTGGCAACTACTGTATTTCTTGTATGTAACAGTGATGACAAAAACAGATAAGCAGCAAGGCAAATAATGGACTTTAAATTCCATTTGTTTAGTAAACAAAGACTTCGTACACTATGAACTCCATTCATAATGGTAATATGAATGACAAACTATGTAATAATGACGCAGTGCACAGAACATGTCATCATTGTTATGTACAAGAAAGGATACATATTGGACATTATCATTAACAACACATCACAATAGTGAAAGGCTGTACAAATACAGTTATCAGAGCCTCAGTACCAGAAAAACACATGTGTAAAACAATTTTTAAACTTATATGAGGCAAAAGCACAAAATCAATTGAGCTGACCTGTACATAACAGTGATGACAAACATGACTTGTACATAACAATGATGACACAATGTACAGGAAAAGACAAAAGTCTTGTCTCCAGAGAGAAAGCGCACTTTAAGAATAAAAAAACCCAGGAGAGGTTTCTTTTGCTTTGAAACAGATGCCAGGTCATATCAAAGACAGTAGACAATCACAATTACGTTGCTAATTATGACAAAGAGTACTCGTACATAACAGTGATGACAAAACATACTGGGAAAAGGTAAAATCATGCCTACAAAGAACAAATTTGCACTATGAGATACACAGATCAATAAAGGCGTATTTTGTTTCTAAATTAATCTTGCATGTATGAAATATATGTTGAAAACTTATTGATACTAGCAATTATGAAAAATATTACTTGTACATAACAATGATGACACAATGACACAGTGTATTGGAAAAAGGCATATCATGCCAACAAAGAACAAATGTGTACTTTTGAGTTAGACAGATAAACAAGGACATGTTTGTCTATTTGTTTGAGTAAAAAGAGCACACATGACTTTAAAAATGTTTGCTCTTAGGACAATGTAATTTCTAGTACGTCAGTCAGTCTTGTACGGCTGCATGACGACACCCAAAATGTCATCACTAAGCACAAAAGCTAAATCTATAACCACAGAAATGATCCATCTCTCGAAGTTTGTTCACACATCACACTCTTGTTCTAGGAATCCAATGTAAACACCACAATTTCACTAAAATATTCAATAGGGTAGCCTAAAAACACGCAAAACAGTCCAGTACGTCACATTCAACGCAAGATTCTTGTGCGTAACCGGAGGGTGACGGCAATGACTACTTTCGTTTTTCTCTTTACCCCGTTGCTCCCGCTGTTCTGGGGAAGCGGGTAAGGGGAAGTCACTCAAGAAAACAATTATATCCGGGCACTGTTGATGACCCGTTCAAAACAAAAGTAGGCTAAAATTCGGACTTCCGGTACGTCGCAAAGTGACGCCATTAACGGCGAATGTTAAACAGCCGACCGAAATCGTAGATCTAGGAACCCGATGTTCCTTTCGCGCATCGCGGCTTTTGAACTGTTGAATAAACGACGATAGGCAAAAAGATTTAACCAGCTGTGGTGATTCTACTGAAAAATAATGGTGTTTTCTGAAACACCTAGTCCGTGACGACACCCCTGACGCACAAGTGATCCGAATTATTCGTTTATATGCAAACAAATAAATCGATTTCTTGAGCAAGTGAACCTTTCTCGATCACAAATAGCATAGAATCAAAGCACAGGTTAAAAAAAAACACCCAAAAATACTAATTTTTTGACATTCTTGGAAGTTTGCATTGGTGTGCTCAGAATGACACTCCAGGAATCACTAAAAAACGAACATTTTGGGCACAAAATTTACAAACTCAAGGTTATAAAGCTGACATAGGGTCAGAAACTGCTAATGCAGGTTCTACATCCTATATTTGACATGTGTATAAGTTTTGGAGGAATAAATACTAATGCATCACATTTTATGCACACTATTGTGAGATGTGTGTGTTTTTCCCCACGTTTTGGCAATGGCTCATATACTAGCGCAGGCGAGTCTTTTGGCTATTCTCACCCGGTGTGCGTTCACCGTTATAGCCTAGGCCAACCTGTGTAGCATTCACTAGCAATGCCAATCGCCTGCTGCGCCCTGGGCCGGAAATTGACCTCCGCGCGAGGGGTAATTTTTGAGCCGCTCGGAATCAGAAGTGACTCTCTTTTAAGTATAGTTACGGGAAAACTCGTTGACGAAAATAAATGAAACTCGTCAACCAATGAGAGGAAAGGTTAAACTAAAGACATGCCAGCGTACAATCCCGAACGATTTCTAGAACCGGAGAAATTGTAGTGTTTGTGCGAATTTCCTCTGCGGTTCGAAAACTAAGCGGAGCTGCGGGTTGATCGCCGACCACACGGGCACCCCACATGTCTTCTTTATTGCTGTAAAATTTCAGGTCTCTGCGTGTAGTAGATTTTACGTACCAACTTAAAATACCACCCATCCATTGATAAAACACTAGAGCTGGAAACTAGACCATGCATTCCGAACGCGAGGTGCCGGCATGCAAGAGGCGTGTGATCGCTAGGCAGCATGTGATTGGCTGCCTAACTAAACAGGTCACCGATGACTTCATCGCGGATTTTCCCGATACCGCTTTACTGAGTTTAAGAAGGAGTGAACGCGCTGCGGTAAAAACGATGTCACGCAATTCAACAAATTTCACGCAAATATCAGTCAATGCCAATGAAAATTTTAATTTTCACTTTAGCCCTTTTTTATTTGGTACCAAAGAAAGAATTTTCAATTCTAAGAATTATGCTTCTTGAATTTTAAGAATCGGTTCATAAATAAAAAAGTTATGGGGTTGTAAAGGTCGGCAAAATATGGATGACCCACATATATAGGAAAATACTCCTAAAAAGTGGACCACGCAGTAGCAGATTCTGTAAGAAAATCGACGATATCTCGGTAACTAATCGGAGTGTTAGAGAGAAACTTGGGTACTCGATGTGTTTTTGGGTGTAGAAACATTTCTGCAGTCAGATTTACTACCCATTTCGTAGTTATTTTGTTATAATTAAAATTTTGGTGTACATATTACGATTTTGCGAATAAGGGGTGTCGGGATGAGTCCATTTTATTTATAGCATCGTATCACAACATGGGATCTTTAAGAATATGTCGGCAGTGTGACTAAATAATTGCAAAGCTTTTTATGATGACTTTAGACCATGCCAACCGTAAAAGATAAGTTAATTCAATCTAGCATGCCGTACAATTAAAAATTCTGTTTCCCCGTTGAGACGCGAACACCCCGAGACGAGATAACCTCGCCTCAGAATACCCCCATTGTGATGTTACAGGGGAATAGAGAGAAAAACAACCGGATGCGCGCGCCCGCCATTGCCTTTAAATTTCAAGTGACCAATGAACGGGCGCGGAATAGTCATGCGGGGATTTGTCTACAGGTCACATACATTTGCTGCGAGAGTGAGGGGAAAATGGCCGGTCTCCGTGCGAAGCCGCTTTGGATAGGGGGGCAGTGGTGCATTTATGATCGGGTCTAAACAACTACTTGACACAGAACGTTCAAATTTGAGCACACTATAGAGGATAGATAGATCTATTACCATCTCGGCGTTTAAATTCAAACTCCTTAAAGTTTTCGGTGTACACAATATGAAAGTCTTCCCGACACCAAAAGTATAGGTTAATTTATGTGTACGAACTTCAACGTCCACATATCATTAGTTTGCCCTATTTTCTGATTGGTTGCCGAGCTTCATTCGGATTGGTTTGGAAATAGAGCAGACTGAAGTTGACAAAGTTAGTCACCTGCGCTTCGGCCGGGTCCGCAAAATCGCCCGCAAACGGGGACCAAATTTTCGCTGCACGGGAAAGCCCGATTGGCATTGCTACTTTAAGATCCAAAGTAATAAAGACATCGAAAAAATGATAACAGAACTAGATTCTGCACTAAAAATCACATGAAGATGCCAAGTTTCATTCATATACACTCCAATTCATTACTGACTTATGAACAGTTTTTCCTTAAAATACATCAAGACATGTTCCACATTTTGGCGATATTTGCCTGTATATAATGAAGGTCCCCCAAAATTTTGCAAACACAACCCCCAATAACTTTTAAATTTATCAATGGATTTTAAAAATTTAAAAACCATAGTTTTTAGAATTTACTCTTTTTTCATTTAAGCCCATTTTAAAGCAATTTGGATGAAAATTTAATTTTTCATTGTCATTGCTACATTCACCCTGAACCACAGAATTCTACTCGGTGATAACAGAATTGTAGAATTCTGTGCCGTGAACAAACGTTCCATTATTACTGTTAGCCTAAAAGCGTGCAATTTTGTCTGTGGACAGTGGAGAGAGAGAAAGAGAGAGAGGGAGAGGAGTAAGCCTAGTGCGAGAACTTCCGGACAAAACAAAATGGCGACCCGCGTAGTTCGGTTCGATTCGAAAAGTTAAATAGCATTAATTAGCATCTTTGTAGACGACCAAATTATTTTACTTTTGTGTTTTAACATCATTTTTTAACTTTGTTTTGGTCAATTTGATCATCCACACCGATAGACAGTATTCAGAGAGAGAGAGATTGAGAGAGGGGAGGAGTAGATCTTGCGAGAACTTCCGGGCAAAACAAAATGGCGACCTGCGTAGTTCGGCTCGGTTCAAAAAGTGAAATAGCCATAGCATTTTTGTAGACGATCAAATTATCTTACTTTTGTGCTATAACGTCTTTTTTTCTTGGCTTTTATCCGTTTGATCATCCACACCGATAGACAGTATTCTGAAATGAGGAAACACAGGTTTTGTTTCACTCCGGGTGAGAATAGCCAACGCTGGCAAGTCTCACCCGGGGTGAGAGGTCGATCGTACTTTTATTCTCACCCTGGGTAAGGATAGCCACTTCCTTTGCAGTTAGGTTGCATCCCAACTCTTTGTGTAGCCTATTTCAAATAGTATAGTATTTGGTCATCAAGACTTCTGGATTTCTTCTCTGGATGTAAACAAATGGATCGTGGACTTTAACTTTAACGAACGGAACTACAAGATCACCGTCAATTTTACTCGAAGTGGGCCCTTGGGCGCCTTGACATTCTGAAAAATATAGAAAGAGGAATATGCGACCGGCGATTTAATAACACCGATTACCTAAGACAGGTGTTACTGTTATTGTGGAAGTGGCATCCTCACCCGGGGTGAGAATAAAAATACAATCGACCTCTCTCCCGGGGTGAGACTTGCCAGCGTTGGCTATTCTCTCTCAGTTGTGAAACAAGACCTGTTTTTCCTAATTTCGGAATACTGTCTATCGGTGTGAATGATCAGATAGACAAAAACAGAAAAAAATGACGTTATAACACAAAAGTAAGCTAATTTGGTTGTCTACAAAGGTGCTATGGCTATTCAACTTTTCGAATCGAGCCGAACTATGCGGGTCACCATTTTGTTTTGCCTGAAAGTTCTCGCGCTACTCCTCTCTCTCTCTCCGCCCCCCCCTCTCTCTCTCTCCGCCCCCCCCCCCTCTCTCTCTCTCTCTCTCTCTCTCTCTCTCTCTCTCTCTCTCTCTCTCTCTCTCTCTCTCTCTCTCTCTCTCTCTCTCACTCCCACAAAGCTTACCCAGACACCATCGCACACTTTGATGAATTCACACAGTCATAAATTCTTACAGCACAGAACAGCATGAATAAACTATACTGAGAGAACATAATAATATTTGTGTTGGGAATGTCGGAAATTACAGATATTGAAGCTGGACTGTAAACAAATGCGTTTTTAGTGCTTATTTGAATTTTGATAAAGTGGTGGACTCCCATAGATGAGCTGGTAAAGCGTTCCACAAGGAGGGGGCGGGGTGTGAAAAAGCTCTCCCTCCAAGTCTCTGACGTTTTCTTCGGACAGGTCTTAAAAGTCTTTTCGTCGCCGATCTTAAAGGCCGAGATGGTATATATTCGATGACCATGTCACAAAGATATGATGGTGCAATGTTGTTGACACACTTAAAACAAAGAAGCATTATTTTGTACTGAATTCGTGCTTTCACCGGGAGCCAATGCAGTTGAATTAGCATTGGTGTTATATGCTCTTTGAGAGATTTCTTTAAAATTATGCGAGCAGCTTGGTTCTGGAGTCACTGTAATCTATTTAACGTTTCAGTGGAAAGGTTTCCAAACAAAGAATTACAGTAGTCTAGACGTGAAAGGACAAAAGAAGAGATGATGGTTTTGATGGAGTCAACACTAAGATATGTTGACATTTGTCCTATTCTGCGTAGTTCTAGATAAATTACCTCACATAGATGGTTTATATGATGGTGCATAGAGAGTTTGCAGTCAAAATAAACGCCTAGATTTTTCGCTTTATCATGAACTTTTATTGCCATCTTCAGTTTGCCACTGTGTACAAGGCTCGGGATAAAGTGACTGACAAGATTGTTGCCGTGAAAAAGGTTGGTGGTGCACAAATGGTATAAATTTTTATCTGTGTTCTAAGGTGTCACGTTTTCATGTTTTGTCATGAAGTTAAGTTTAAATGAAAGGGTCCAAACATTTTGTGGGACTGCAGCATGAATGATTTTTAAAAAGATTCAATCATGTGTTAGTGACTCTAGGCTTGGCTTCGTGGTCCCGTTCATTGTTTGTCCATGTGCTGTGAAAGGCTGTTTTCATGAGATAAGACCTGAAATTACATGTGGTGTCTGTTTCAGATTAAACTAGGCTCTCGTACAGAGGCAGCTGATGGCATTAACCGCACAGCACTCAGGGAGATAAAGCTGTTACAGGAGTTGTCTCACGACAACATAATAGGGGTTTGTACTCAAATTTTTTCTTTGATTTGCTCTGTGTGGGTTTTTTTTGTGGATGAGTGGCTTTTTTACAGTCGAAGCTGTCTAAGATGGCCACCCATTGTCGAGGAGAATAGTGTCCGTATTATACAGGTGGCCGTTAACGATGAAAGGGAAGATTGGAAAATGGCCGTTTGCACAGGGGTCATACAGGTGGTCGTCAGAGCAGGTTGGACTGTACATGATTGCTTCTTTCTGGTTCTGATTTTTCACAGAACAGTGTTTGTTCAGCTTTTCTATTCTTAGGGAACCAAGTAAATAGCGTTGATTCTATTAATGATAGTGCCATTCAGTGTCTGGAGTGCCAGTTCCAAGCATGGATGGTTTCTTTAATTTCTTTTGTTTTCAATATCATTGTTCCTCTGTTTTTGTTGTTGACATCTTCATAAATAGTCTGTTAAATTAAGTAACTTTATTTGATGTAGAGATGTTTTGAACATTTTCAACCTTTTTCTTTTAATTTCATTCCTTACTTTATGTCTATTACCTTTCACTGCGGAGCTCCTCATGAGCATCATTTTGTATATAACCCATTTCATCATGGCTTCTAACCTGTGGCTATTTTTTTTCGACGTAGTCTGAAAATTGGAAAATAATCTAGTGCTGTCAGTAGGAAAATAAAAGAAAGAGAGAATACTAAGTTTTTCAAATGAGCAATTTTTTCAACAGCACACCACTGTCTTTCAAGATATATGTGTCTAAAACATAAATGTTGGACATTTGGTAAATATGGTTCACTTAAATATGTAATTTTCTCTTCACTAGTAAGTACTCTCATAGCTGTGAAAAAGGAAAGTCTCTCTCATGTACAAATTTTGCCGAAATAATCACATTCAAATGTCTCAACAAACTCATTTCCACCAGTGTGATTTTTTGAAGTAGTATTAGCATTTCTTTTCCTTTTTTTTTTTTCAGCTTGTTGATGTCTTTGGTCACAAATCCAATGTTAGTCTGGTGTTTGACTTCATGGAAACTGACCTTGAGGTGAGCTGATTTTGTCGTAGTGTTTGGGTGCTGTTGTAGTTACTGCTGTGGAATTGACATTTGTTTGTGTGTAACATAGTGTGTATTGAAGAGTTAAAGGAAAGGATGCTTTGACTAGGAGAATATTCACCATCACATAGTACTGATATTTGGCAGTCTGTTCTTAGAAGTGAGGCTGATCTTTTAAGTTGCTTTCAGTTATGCCTACAGTTGTCTAAATACAGTAAGGTTATGGGTGTTGATTAAAGTGATCAGGAATCATGTTCGATCTGAGTATCCTTCTCCTTGGTTTTTGTCAGACTATATACTAATTTGACTAGCAAAATGTTCTAAGGCTGTATGTATAATTTACATTTTTTGTGTTGTAAACAAGGAATTGTACTTTTAATGTATTGCATCTTTTACTTGTCATGCTGATGGCTGCAGCACAAATGATATAGATTTATCAGCATTGGGGAGACTGATGACTTTTTTTTTTCTTCTGTCACCGTGACTGGGTTTTGCTTAAGAAAGGGCCTACTGTGTCTGTGGTGTCTGTTCTAAAGAAACAAAAATGAATTAAAACTGAACTTAGCTTGCCAAACCCATGGACAACATGAAGTGACTATGAACATTAACTTATTTGAGGACTGCCATCAGAGACATAAGCTGTCAACTCTCTGTCAGGCTGCGGAACACTTATTATGTGTTTGACAGAACAACTCATGTATTATGCTGTACTTGTGCATTTGCTATTATATGACCATTGGCTGAGGGGCAAAAATGCTCTAAAGTCTTTTGATGGATAACAATTGGGAAACTTAATGTAACGGGTGTCTGTGACCATGGCTATTCCAGGTTGTGATCAGGGATAACAACATAGTCATGACAGCCCCTCACATCAAGTCATACACTCTGCAAACTTTACTGGGCCTAGAATACCTTCATACAAACTGGATTCTCCACAGGGTAATGTCATATCTGTGTGTGTTTGTGTGTACTTGTTTTTAGCTTGTATTGGGTAGAGAGAGAGAGAGAGAGAGAGAGGGAGAGAGAGAGAGAGAGAGAGAGAGAGAGATCTTTTTGTCTTCAAAGTATGGTACAGAAAACTAGCCTATTCTCGTATTTTATTGAACTGTTCTGCTATTCAATATTTTTTTGCTCTTTATCTATGTTGCGTCTCTATCACCTCATCATTGACTGGTGTTATTTTTATTTTACTAGTTCATAGACATAATTGTGTTACCTTTGAATAGTTTTGACCTGCACATCAATGTCTCATATGTTCCACCTTTGTGGGATATCAAAATAATACAACGGAATTAATTATTATGCAAAGGTTCTGTCATATACTTGTTTGTTTTTTCTCTCTCATGTTATGGTGCTATTTTCATGATTCTACGTTGCATTGTAGTCCAACATGGGTTAAATTTTATCAAAAGAATTTAAGGACAGTCTTGTTATGACTTTGTGAACAAAATAGATTTGTCGTTTTTTAACTCCTAGGCAAATTCTTTTATTCTTGACCAATTACTCATGCGCTTCTATTTGAAAGAGTTATGCATGCTCATAAATGAATTTATAATTTTTTCCCCAGGATATGAAACCAAATAACTTACTGATCAATGAGCAAGGCACACTGAAAATTGGAGATTTTGGTCTTGCGAAATTTTATGGCTCGCCCAGCCGACCATACTCTCATCAAGTTGTGACACGGTAAGTCCCTCTTTGACTGAGGGCTTGAGGACTATATGCTCTTTAGAAAAGTATACGAAAAATTCTGTCTCAAGCAACTTCTTGCTTTGAAGTAAGAAATTATATCTTATTCTGATAATGTCAGTCTTTGGAATTTTCTGTTTTGATAGTTGGGGGCACCACTTGTATGTCTTACTTCTTTCCTTTCTCTCTTTTGTTTTGGTCTGTTTATATACCTTCTTCCCTGCACTAAATGACTGTTATTGTGCCTATATAATGTGCATATCTTTATTCAAATGTCACTTTCTGCCAAAAGCAGTTTTTGTTTAGAGATAGATGAAAAAAAACCGATACAAATTATTTGAGGTTTTTTTTCCCCCCTAATACTGTACGTGTTCTGCATCTTGATATGACATTGTTGCAAAGGGTATTCAACTTGTAAAGTTTCTCTTTTTTTTTTTCTTCTTAATGTCAGATAGTGTTAGGTTGAAATTTTAATCTTTGATCTTTATTTTGATGTCAAATAATGAAAATGGTCTCAAATGTCACAATTTAAGTAGGTTGGAAATGTCAATGTATTTTCGATTACTGTTTTAGTGTTAAGGATATGTTAGTGGGTCTCAAGAGTTTTGAGGGCTCTTTGTTCTTGATGTTTCTGGATAAAAAAATTTTTTCATTATCACTGTACCTCAACTTCTTGGTTTGACAGTGTTGCAAAGGGCATGAAAACTTTAAAATTTTGCACATTTTTGTCTTGATATGAGATCTACAGAGTGACCTGAAAGAAGATGGCAAGATGACATCAGGGAGCAGACGTGTACAAGCTGGACACGAAAAACAGCTGAAAGTGGATGTTATTGTTGGAGGGCTACATCCTGCAGTGGACAGACAATGCATAGATAGAAAGAAAGAAAGAAAAAGTTTCTGGATTGTACTTTTGTCTTTCCCCTTCAATTTTCTGTTGATATATTTTTCAGGTGGTATCGCTGCCCTGAGTTGTTATTTGGTGCCAGGTCTTACGGTGATGGTGTTGACATGTGGGCGTTAGGGTGCATTGTTGCAGAGTTATTAATACGGGTATGTCTGTGTTGTGGTGTACTGTACAGAAAGCTGCTGCAGTTACGATGTCAATAGATCCTACTTCAAACCTGTTCATTTATTTTGCTGTGTATCGTTTTTCTTTTTCTTTTTCCTTTCAGTAAATGATTGATATTGTATCATTGAGCTTCTTTTTAATTTAAACAAATAATTAATAGCATTGTATAGCCTTAGCAGTGCCACTGACTGTGTGTCTTTAGGCCATTCCCAAAGGGGGTACATTTCTCGTTCAAGCATAGTAGAATTGTAAATGGGCTGATTCATCATGCTACGCTCATAACTGTGCCTGATCTATAACAGGGAACTGCTGCTTTTTCTTTCCTAATCCTTACTATTGTCATTATCCTCATCTTCTTTTGTATGTTTGTCACTCTCTTGTGACCCGCTATTTCCGGGGTGCCTTGATAGTCGAAGCAGACCTTGTGCTGTTGAAGCTAGAGAGGTGAGCAGAGTAAGTCTGATTCCCTGTAAAGACTTCTCTGTTGACACCCACCCCTTGGCGCTCATATGACCTTATGCAGTTGCAGGCGCCATAAAACCCTGTACTATATTTTTTTTAAAGTAGGGATTTAATTCTCTCCTCTGTGTGTAGTCTCAGTATATTTGTAACTTGAAGTAGTTTAGTTTGGCGCAGATAACATGAACATGGAAAACTCGAAATCACGGATGGCTGGTACAATTTACCATTCCCTGGCTGAATCACTATTTTTTCTTTGCATTGGCAACATTGGCAATGTTTTATTTTCTATTATACTGTCACTGTGATTTCCCTTGATTTTCTTCAATATTTTCTCTTATTTCTGGTTATCAAGATTTACTTGAAATACGGCTGTATTGAACATATTTGTAAATCCGTGACATATTAGCGATATCCGTACTTGACTTTACTTTCTCTGGCAAATATATGCTCTTCTGAACAGCATGTTAAGCTTCAAAAGTGGGTTTCTGTCAGCTGGATAATCTCAAGTGAATTGAGAAGCATGGAGATGATCAAGTCATGATGGGCATGTTGCCAGTCTCAGTCCCTTTTATTAGATGATAAAGAATTTTGATGTAGGCCCACAACAAATGTTTAATTCTAATAGTTTTGACTAGATCCCACTTTTTTTGGGTATTATTTACTTGCATACGTGTTTCATTTCAATAAACATTTCTTCATAAAATGCACTCATATAATGTTGCTGTGAAAATTTGAGACTTTATTGACCTTAAAGCTTGTTTTTTTTTCCTTTTCTGACAGGCCCCGTTCCTTCAAGGAGATACAGACCTTGATCAGCTCAGTAAAACCTTTCAAGTGTTAGGAACACCAAGTGAGGCAGACTGGCCTGTGAGTCTTGCTGTATTCATTTATTTAATTTCATTTTGCTATTTGAAAGGGATTTGATAAAAAATGATTTATCTCATAGCTTAGTGTAGACAATTTAATGATTTTATCCTGCTTTTGTTCTAAATGTGACATATATAGAATGAACATCCATTATGTCTCTGTATCTTTTTTATGAGGATATCAAAATCAGTAATAATAATACTGATAATAATATATGACATTTATATAGCGCTCAACCCCGATTAAAGTACACAGGCTTTGAGCGCTTTACAAAACAGTACAACGTACAAAAGTAACATAAAACGTTGTTTATCTGACTAAAAGAAAATCACTCCAAATATTTATCTTAGTAATTTAAAAACAGAAGCGACTTCAGCTGACATTTGAATGAATCAAAAGATTTGATCTCTCTTAAAGTAGGCCTACTTGGTAAAGCATTCCAGATTTTGGGGCCTTGGTATTCAAAATCAGTACTGTAAACTTCATCCTTGACGCTAACAGTAGTAAGCTTTTAAAAGAAATAAATGGAAAACAGCACTGTATTAATGAGCTTTTCTTTCTTTGCAGGACATGAAATACTTGCCAGATTATGTTGTGTTCAAAGAGCATCCCAAACACCCAATGAAAGAGATTTTCACTGCTGCTTCAGATGACCTGTTGGAACTGCTAGATTCTCTGCTGGCTTTGAATCCTTCCAAACGTTGTTCAGCATCTCAGGTACATATATGTACAGTTTCTTTGGGTGTATAAATAAGAAAAATGTAATGAAAGTAAATATATTGAAAAAAAAAAAGGCTTGTGATTGCTGTCAAAAATGCAGTAGAAATTGTCCAAAATGTCCACCCATTGTCAAGGTTGTCTTAGACAGGTAGACATGTTACATAGTGTCATTATGTTTAAAAAAATGCAATAGGGAAATAAGAAGTGGTCATTTGTACAGGTGATTTTGGTGGACAGGTGACCATTAAGAACAGGTTCGGCTGGGCCAGTTTGCTGCATGTTGTACTGCATTATATGCATTGACCAATTACGTTTATTGTTTTCCAGGTTTGTGGTGGCTGGTTAGATTGTCATTTTGTGTTCATATTGCTGTGTACAGTGACACATTGCCATTTTGGATAGTAGTTCAGTGCCCATTATGTGCTTTTCATTTTTCTCTGACTGTATTCACATGAGTTTACGTAATGGGTCTATATTGCAGCCAAATGTATCTGTGTCTGTATTCTTAGTCCATGTTGTTAAAGTCATGTGTGGGGTCGAATCATTACAATAATTTGTAATGTTTGTGTGTGAGATATTTTGATTTTGAATGCGTACTGAAAAATGGTGTAAGAACTTTCCGAAATTTTGTTGTAAATTAATTTGGCAGAACAAAAACGTGTGACATAAAATTTGATGAAAGGGAAGCTGAAGAGATGACTTTGGCAACTTCAATGTAGTTTAGTCGTCTCAGAGAGGGTTATTATGATTTTCTTTCTCATTCCTCTATCACTTTCTTAACTCACTGGAGACTGGGCCTTTTTTCGGGTCTACAATGCTGAAGACTGGTGTTTTTGGGGGTATTTCAATATTTCAAACAACACCCTTCCCAAAGACATACAACCACCATTTTTACACACATAACAGATCTAAACATGTCCAATATGACTCCAAAAACAGAAAGGCAATATCTTTTATAGTTTTTTTAGAAATGATCTTTTGAAAATGTGCTCAAATTTATTGCTCGCCAAAATTTTTTGACCCGACAGAATCCCCAAAAATTAATCTTGTGTGTGTTTTTTACAGTATAATCCATTTATATCGACAGCATTTTTTACATATCAACATATTTTCCAATTACGAAATATTTCTTTCAGTATCTTCACTAAATAATTTCTCTTATATCGACTTCTTTTCGGCCCACTTAGCTTTATTGACATGCTTTCTGGGTACCTGGCGAAGCCCACGAACATAAATGGGGGGAAAAAGCCATGCTAACGGTCAACACATTAGTTCTTCATTAAGTCCGCATACCCGCCAAGTAGCCTATTCGACACACCAGGTTTTAGTAAGTCATGTAGGGCCTACACAGTGCAGTCTCCAACACAGTACAGTGCCTCACTCCCGATCGCTCACACCCCTTCCCCTTCCCCTTCTCAGTCTGTCGCTGGTAAGTGCCTTGATCGGTGAGTCAGTGCCTCGGCTTTCCATTTTCCCCAGAAAGCGGCCATAAACAGGCCTTACAAAGATGGTACAACAAAGTTTGTGCTGGTATGTAGTGTGTGCCTTGCCGGTACCGTAACCCCAACACCCCCCCCCCCCCCTGCCTCTTGTTAGTTTCACTGTGTAGTGTAAGAATCAAGGGAAGCAACCAGCTTAAAAAAGTAGTGTTGTCTTTTTACCGCTGACCTCCTCTTGCATTTCTTCTTTGGCTTTATATTTTCATTTATCGACATTTTTATATATCGACATCAAATCCACTTCCCAAGGCATGTCGATATAAGCGGATTAAACTATTTTATTTTGTGTTTCCAAATGAAAAAAAAGTCCAAACTCATGAATAGGCAGGTAATCGATATGGTAATCCTTATGTATTAGCTGTCTAATCCACTTCTGTGTGAAAAAAAACAGGGCTCCAGAAAAAGCGGAACTTTGCATTTGAAAGCCTCGTCTAGATCTAGAACATTCTCTGTCAGAATCAGTGCTTTGATGCTCATTTACATTGAAATCAGGATCCCCATGGTCTAAAATATCATAATCAGAAATTTCTGAACTGACAAAGTGTTGCGAGAACAGACACCAGTCAGAGAAACGAAAGTAGGGCCCCAGTGTAACTAACTTTCCTTCAGGGTCGATAACTCAAAAAGTTTCCTGCCGATTCCGGTGAAACTTAGCACGAAACGAAACCAAGGTCTGCTGCACGGTAAGAGACGGTTCATGCAGCTTTAGGGCGCATACTTTTTGGAAGAGAAAACGCGAAACTTGGGCTCGCAGGGGGTGCGTGAACCGCCTCTCGGGAAAATATTGGTGCTCACTAATGCTGCGTGAACCGTCTCAAGTGAGTTAAAAGATTCTTCATTCTGAGTACTCAATGAAGTACTGTTTGTTTGACTATTTTACAATCAATATGCAGGTGATTAGTGGATGCTCTGGTGTCGTTTGCTCTTTTTTTCCTATCAAACATAGATCATCCTGATCTCTCCTCCTTCTTTCTTGTGTTTGTTACTGTGCTGTAACACCTCTAATCTTCGGCACTTATATGACCTCATAGTCACATAGTGTTGCAAAGTGCCATAAAACTCATACAAAAACTAATCTCAACAAAGTAAAATATATCTTCCTATGTGAAAATGTATTCCATGCAGCTGCCTGATCAAGGCGTTAGTGTCTATGGATGTCTTGCTCAAAGAAGCTTTTTTTCCCTGTCAGGCCCTTCAAATGTCGTACTTTAGCAGTAAACCTGCCCCCACCCCCAGTGGACATCTTCCTTTCCCAATGTCCAACAAGATTGTGGACAAAGAGAAGGAGGCAAAAAGACAGACTTTAAAGAGGAAACAGAATGGAGACTCAGGTACAGTGGAGCATGAATATGTCCAATACCTCAGGGGCTGACAAATATGTTCTATACATCCATAATTGGAGAAAACAATGGTAATTAAAAATAGGCTATTGTTAGGGGACCGTACGCCCCAATAGCCCTTGGCGCTAGGGGACCGTACGCCCCCATAGTGTTAGGCGCTAGGGGACCGTATGTCCTACCTGCGCTAAGGCGTGGAGTTACGGGACCGTACGCAGATATGCATGCATCTGGACTTTGCAAAAATACTGGAGGAAAATGGCCAGTTTAACGAAGCTCCTGACGTAAGGAGTTATTACTAGGAGAATGTTTAAAATGTCTGAATACGATTGTGAGGTATCTAGTGGCCGTGGGTGAACCAAAATTTGAAATTTGCTCACGTCTGCACCCATGTTGTTATGTGTCAATAAAAGAAATCAAAGAGAGGGGGGGG